CTAATCACTGGACGTTCAAAGTTCTTCAGCTATAAAACTATACATTCGGACTATTAAAGTTCTTTATTCCACCCATCTAGTCTGCTAGAGTTCTTGTTCTAATGAGCTAATCACTGGACTTCAGCTATAAAACTATACATTCGGACTACTAAAGTTCTTTATTCCACCCATCTTTTCTGCTAGAGTTCTTGTTCTAATGAGCTAATCACTGGACTTCAGCTATAAAACTATACATTCGGACTACTAAAGTTCTTTATTCCACCCATCTTGTCTGCTAGAGTTCTTGTTCTAATGAGCTAATCACTGGACTTCAGCTATAAAACTATACATTCGGACTACTAAAGTTCTTTATTCCACCCATCTTGTCTGCTAGAGTTCTTGTTCTAATGAGCTAATCACTGGACTTCAGCTATAAAACTATACATTCGGACTACTAAAGTTCTTTATTCCACCCATCTTGTCTGCTAGAGTTCGTGTTCTAATGAGCTAATCACTGGACTTCAGCTATAAAACTATACATTCGGACTACTAAAGTTCTTTATTCCACCCATCTTTTCTGCTAGAGTTCTTCATCAATTGAACAATGCAACTAGACTATTAACATTTTTGAAGCACTGAATTACATATCAAGTCTAGTAATGATTTTTAAGCTTGGAGTGACTCCTTTGGAAAGCTTAAGGTTTCTAGCCTTACAACTACGCATTTTGGCAAATGATTCTTAAATATAGCTATAAATATCGTTTACTGGAGTTCATCGGCTTCAAAACTCTAATCTGTGTCAGAGCGTCAGCATGTTAGGGTAGTCATAAGGGGTATGACAGAGAGACACTATGGGAGGTAGTTTGACAGTACTCTAACGTTCAAAATCAATGAGATTCCGAGGGAGGGGGGAAAAAAAGGGGGGGGGGGGAGTTAAGCAACATGTGCGTTTGTAGTGATAGCTGAAAGATGTAGGAGAACTGGTGTATCCGTGGCCTTTTTCAAAAATCAATATAAAATAAAATACAATTTTAGGAGTTTGCGAAATCAAATGCAATAAGCAAGCTAACACACTACACCTCAGATTTATTTCACTATCGCCACCTGGTCAGGAGTGGTCCAGCTTCGCAACCAACCTGTGTTGCCACGATGCTTTCGGTAATATACTGGTCTTGTTTCTTCAAAGGAGCGGGATATTATATTAGCCCACACCAAAACACCGTCAGTTTTTCTACTTGCTTGATCAAGTGTATCATTATTTATCCTCCCCAAGGACATGCACTAACAAGTATCAAGGACTACACTGTAAGACAACCTTGGGTCACAAGTGGCATTAAGAGCCGTCCTTGCAGAAAGCAGCGGCAAATTACTAAATGTGATATTGCCTTGTGATATCTCAAATATCTCCAAACAAAATGCAGGAATTGGTTCTACGACGTACTATATAGGATACCCCAATACCTTTAGATTCGAAGGTCGTGGGATCTAATCCTTACAGAGCTGGATTTGTTTATCTTTCATACTTGGCTTTGGAGCCCACGTCAATTCGGTCTTTAATGGGCACCTGGTAAATTATTGGCAAGCAAACGCAGCTGGGTTGTTAGTACCACATCGCCCATCGAGGTCTATAATATGATGATGCTTCTTCTTCTTCGGTTTTTTTCTTCTTCTTCTTCTTCTTCTTCTTCTTCTTCTTCTTCTTCTTCTTCTTCTTCTTCTTCTTCTTCTTCTTCTTCTTCTTCTTCTTCTTCTTCTACTACTACTACTACTACTTCTTCTTCTGCTTCTTTTTCTTCTTTCGTTCGCTTGAAATAGAGTATCTAAGTATACAAAGTTGTCTGTAGTATAAACTCTACTGTAAACAGCTCAACAGATCAAATAATATCAAATTACTGTAAGTGGTGGCAGTAGCTTGTATTCCTTAGAGAAAACTGGTACTGATCATGCCTAGAAAGGACAATACTTCTAGTAATTCGTATTATATTGCTTTTTATTCATTTATTTTTCGACATGACAAGGCAGATGTGGTCAAGGCCCTTTGGCAACAAGCAACAAAATCAGCCTAGAGAGAATGAGGCACCTGTGTGTAACCAGATGGTCTGGCTAGCTCATTACACTAAGAGGAAAGGCAAGAGGGACATATAACCAGATTGTGACTGGTTCCATCAGTACTGGAACTCTGCACTGGCTGCTGAAGATGAGGACGGAGTACGCATAGGAATACTCCGAGTGCTGTGATGTCAATTCTTGACAACTCAGTTGAGCTCAATTCATTTATTATTTGTTAAATATTTAGACGAAAGGAAAGTGAACATCACACGATTACAAATAGAAATATTAGTAAAGGGACTGTACGCTTGCTAAAGATGATGATGGAGCGTTTACCGGAATTTCCTTAGTGCTATAATATAGATTCTTTGTTTGTGTTTTATAAATCACTTTTGCCATCTCTAGCGTCTTTTTCTGTCTTTATAAGAAAATGTTTATCCTCCTTTTTTCATGTTACTCTGTTTTAATACTTGCCCAGCAAGATTGACACTTTGTGACTTCTTTGAAAAAGACTGCAAAATGTGCGTCTATATTTTGTACTCATCTTAAAGTACAAGAAAATATTAACACTGGAGTTGACAGTCTCAAACAGAAGCGCAAACGACCATAAAATATAGTGCAGGTTCACAT